CACTTCGACAACCCTAAAAACAGTATTTAAATGAGTGAAAAATAAATATAACTTAATACAAATGAATGGCTCTTTTCCATTATTAGTCGCGCCATTCATCACGACCCAGTGACCGCATAAATTAAGCTTTCTGGCAGGCCGATATAAGACCAAGGAGAACATCAGGTTATTCACTGATACTAATATTAGTGGAGACCCAGCGTGTTGTGCAAGCCGAGAAGTTTAAAAGTTAAGGGCTTTAGTCTCGACAATTATGATGTGAGACGATTCCCATTGACAGCAAAGCTATGCATATGTTTGTCTTGGACACATCGTTTAGTTAGCATCATTTTCAGTCAAGGGCTGTGCCAAAGGCCTCGTTATCAAGTTATTATAGTAATCAATAAATTATGGAGCCGGAGGAATCGCAAATAGCAAACAAATGGAACTTTAAACAGCAACTAAGCACACAAAACACGATCCATGAACGAAGGTTGTTGTAAGCTTATCAAAATTTTTATCCGATATTTCTGGAGCCTACGATGATGACAACAATGGTGCTTTTGACCCTTCAATGTTTCACAGGCGTCTTATCCTAGAGACGGCAATCTGAATTAGCGGAGCCACCAATACTCTGGAGCCCCATCAGTCAGTGAGGCCTTCTATAACGACGTTCCTTCGGTCTGGGATAAAGCCAGTCCTGAACATCAAACAAAGATGGAATGCATTCAAATCGCCAGTGAAAGAATCTCTCACGACTCATTAAAAGTGTGATCCAATAAAAATTCAGTTAGTGAGCGTGAAATCATACTTCTGTGCAAATGCGATTGGTCTCCGATGTAAGTTTTTCGAGTATGAACCTATGGTTTGGAAAGTGGAATTTCACATCAAGGTAAAACAGAATTAAAAAGACGAAAATGGTTCAATTGGCTCGCCTGAAGCGTGAGTCCATTGAAGGGAATACGGCAGAGTGCGGAGATGCCCAGTCCGGCCAGGAGGGCTAGACAGACGACAAGAAGGCCAGCGATCGCCAGCCAGCATTGAGAGCGGATGGGATCACGCCAGTCGAGCAGACAGAGCAGGCTGAACAGCAGCTAGGAAAGCAGACCAATAAAAAAGGAGACGAAAATCAGACAACAACCTCGTTACCTCTATGCAAAGTGATGTATGGGGCAATTCGAAAGAGATTAAAAGGATGAAAAAAGCGTTCATAGTGGCGCTGCTCATAGAGCTACTCGTGCTTTTAGGTGTGGAAGAGACAGAGCCCGTGATGACTCTGAACCAGTAATTTCTGAGTGATCTCATTCGAAACGTGATCGTATTACTCATCTTTACAGTCTGTCAAATTGAGAGAATTAGAAGATAACTGTGATTTGTAAAATACGTCATTATTCTTATCCGCTTAGCCGATGTCCCTGAAATGCAATAATTGTCCCACCAGTAGATTCTGCAAATCCATGCATAAAAGTTGGTTGAATAAATTGTCTTTAAAAATACTGCAGGTCCCCAAAATCGGCCTTGAGGTTTTGATGAAGCTGCTCTGAGTTCGCAGGTAACATGCGATATGTTACAGAAATAGAATATTTTCTAATTATTACAGCTATTACTAACGCATCGTAAATACATGCATACGCACATAGACTAGCGAAGTTTAATCAGAGATAGGTCAGCCTTCTCGGCTCAATATATGCATGAACTCGTCAAAAGAATGATGCACAGCTCAGACGATTTCAGCCATTTAAAGGAAGAAGGCTCAGCAAGTAGATATGGATATCAAGGTGGGGCCTTTGATGTTGTACATGCCTCTGTTCGCTACATAGTTGGCTTGACTTCATTCTCGCAACTTAGTTGTGTTCTCAGGACTACTTGGGCGAGCATACCCTTAGTGCGCCCTCCAACATTGTGATAATGCCTTATTCCATCGTTGGACCATGGACCGAAAACGTCTATTGCAATGCCGGCGAAACGTCTGAAAATGAGCCTGATAAGCGGTTCGATGCTGGGTAAAAAATTAAAACAATGGCGGAGGACGCAGTAAAGGTAACTTCGAAGTAGTTCTGAGATAGAGAGAAAGGTCAATATGTCACCACCAAGAATTGGATAATTTTTCAAGAATTGTGAACACAAACGCTCCAGTGGGATCGGGTAAAGTAGGATTCATAGTCATTTTAGGGTAAAATAGGCTTATGAATCTCTTTATTCCATACCTGACATTGAATGAAAACTCCCAATTAATATAAATCAGGGGATTCAAAGAAACTTACCTTAAAATATATGATAACAGGTACAAAACAAGCTAGTGGTACAATAAGTGTGTAGCAATGGCAACTCTCTGCATAACTCCAGACTGGTCCCAGTTGATGCTTTTCTCAG